CCCCAAAACCCCAAAACCCCAAAACCCCAAAACCCCAAAACCCCAAAACCCCATTAAAGCAAGGATTTTGTGAAATAATATTTTAAAATATGAAGTACACGTGCTTTCCACCTGACATTGTGAGCCATTTGAAGGGTTCCTTTGAAATTAGTTATACAGAGGTTCCAAGCTTTGAAAGAAACTACTATAATCGTGGCAAAATGGATTCAGTCGAAGGTTTATCAAAAGAGTTTGGAATTCAGGCCTTCGTTCTTGGTTTGACATTTGTTGTGAGACTGTTTACACTCCTTCTTTCAAATGGATATCAATTCAACACCACTAAGAAGGTTGGGTATATTAAGAAAGTTCTTGCACTTGCTTGGTTAAGATACTTGATGATCATTATTGATCAACAGAAAGAAGTTGAGTATGAGATAGATCCAGATTCTTATTTTGGCAGATTTTATCCAACCCAAGACTTGACATGGTACATTCTGCTGATATGTGGAATTATGGAATCAATGAGCTTACTTGACATGTTTAATAACACTCAAATCCCATTTTTAGCTAATAGCACTGAAATAGTTCAAAGAGAGAATGGAGTGGTAAGGTATTCAAATGAAGAACATGAATTTATTGATAATTTCAATTTCTTTGATATGGTAGCACTTACTCTCAATGCCTTATTTTTATATTTCAGTCTTGATCTGTACTTTAATCAAGGTTTTGGAAGTTTCTATCCTGAAGAGCTAAGGATATATTGTTGTTTCGAGATATGCTTAATGACAATGTCCTTACTCCTAAAACCATATGAAACAGTGAGGTTCCCAAAGATGGTTACTATGATAATCCCCGTAATAGTTTTCAGTATCAGTATCTACAAGCTAATAGAGTTGTTCAGGCTTACTAACAGTGACAACAGCTTTATCCTCTTCATTATCGAATTTATCCTACTCATCCAAGGCAGAGGGAGTATCTATCTGGCTTCTTTCATTATGTTCTTCTTCGTGAAATCATATGTTATTATTTACCTGACTCATAAAGAAAAGGCAGACGATCTGGACCAGATAGAAGAAGAGCAAAGAAAAATTATTGAAGAAAGAAGAAGGATGATAGAGGAAAGGCTGAAGAAGCATGAAGAAAGACAAGCGCTTATGATTCACTCTAGATTGGACAACAGTGGAGGCCTCCAAGGATTCGAAGGCATCAGTCTTTTCAAAGACATCTCATGCGTGTACACCTGTATTGCAGAAGAGTTTTATAGGATTAAGGCCAATGGAGATATTATTAAGGAGAATCTGACTGAATTCGTCAAGCTGAGTACTGTCCAATCTGTTAGTTTTATTAAGAAACAGTTCTTTAACTTCTAAATTATTCTGTTCAATTCTAGAAGGTTTGTTAGGGGTTTTGGGGTTTTGGGGTTTTGGGGTTTTGGGG